TTTCTTAGAATTCTGAACACTGTAGTTATTTCTGCACAGAGTCTTTACCCAACAGGTACTGCTGCCTTCACTGCTGCTCTTCCCCTGTGATCCAGTCCCTTCTGCCCTCCATGCCCTGAGCAGGGTATCTCTGGTCTGGGAGGTCTGGTCACAAGCACCAGTGCCTGTGTTGGGTTTGGGAGTCCCCGGTTACATGTGCAGGTGATGCCCCAGTCATCCTCTGAGTTGGCTTCTCCCTTGCTGTGGAGGACTCACTAGCGGAGTGTGCTCAGCCATAGAGCTGCCCTGTTTTGAGTGTTGCACAAATCATCCGTTTCAGATTTGAGCAGATTCAAGTTCATTCTTCTAAAATACCACTTACGTTCCCACATGTTCTTCTGCCTCCCTACGTCCCCCCAACCCCACCCTGTAGCATCCCTGCTATAGCAGAGTCATGGTGCTGTGGCTGGCTGGCTGCCTGCCTCCCCCAGGCAACTGTGAGCACCTTGAGGCCAGGGTCTACTGACTTTTCCACAGGGTCCCCACAGGGTCTAGCACATGAGAAACAGGAGACAAAATGATAAGCCCTGTGGAGGAGGCTGATCCAAACTTCGCATAAGGGCTGAACAGGAGAATTGTGGGGCGCCTGGCTGGCTCAGTAGGAAGAGCATGTGACTCTTGATCTGGGGGTTGTGAGTTTGAGTCCCATGTTGGGTATAGAGAGGACTTTTTTTTTTTTTTAAGGATTTATTTATTTGACAGAGCGAGCATGAGGCAGAGTGACAGGCAGAGGGAGAAGCAGGCTTCCCGCCGAGCAGGGAGCCCGACGCAGGGCTCGATCCCAGGGCCCTGGGATCATGACCTGAGCCGAAGGCAGACGCTTAACCGACTGAGCCAGCCAGGCGCCCCGGGTGTAGAGATTACTTAAATAAACTTAAAAAAATTTCAAACAGTTCTTCCAGGTCTTCATCTGGCCCAACCCAGAGGGGCTGGCAGCACCCCGTGGCAATCAGCAGAGGGCGTGTTCCCACTGCAGCCAGCAGACAAGAGGATGGATAGGCTCCATGTTGGAGCTCCAGTTAAAACCCTAGTCTGGCCGCCTGAGCACCCTGAGGACTGCCACAGGGCATGAAGGTGGGTCCTGGCCGAGCCATGCATATAGTCCTTGCAGGATCAATAAGACCTTCCACCAAAGTAGGTTGGTTTTTTTTTTAATTGCAGTGTTCCCAGCCCTGTGGCATGACTGAGGGTAGGTCTCTGTATAGAACACAGAATGGCATTAGCATTATCACAGGGACAGGGGGCCGCTTCCTGGGGGCCCAGCAAAGGGTGACACACTCATTCTCTTTTGGAAAGCTGTGCTGTGGCCATGGGGATTCCTTTCTTTGAGCCAAGAAGCTGCGAGACAGATGGCCTTTGGGAGCAGTCAGTTCTCCCAGAGGGTCAGCCGGTGTCACCAGGCACCTGGCAGGCTGGGACATCACTGAGATCCTTGTCCAAAGCCCAGGCCTATTCCTCAAGGGGAAGCTGGCTGTGGCACTCCAGGCACCGTGCCGTTCACTGGGCCACCAGCCAGCCCCTCTGGGTTGGGCCAGATGAAGACCTGCCACACTCGAGGCTCCTCTGCCGTAACGGTCACCCAGGCTTAGCTTCCAAAAGAAGCTGGCACAGTGGCAACGCCAAGGGCAAGGCCAGCCCAGCTGGAGAAGGGAACTGTGATTTGCTGAGAACCTACTTACTGGGTTTACTAAGGGAGATCTGTATCTATGTATCTATATCTGTATCCGTCAGCTCATTTATATACATACATATCTTTTCTATAGCTCTATATAGCTTTTATATAAAATATACATAAAATCCAATTCCCACATCACAACAAAATATACTTTAATACATGAGGGAATTGGGGCTTAAAGGATTAAATTACTTTGCCCAAGGTCACCCAGCAAGTATTTGTACTATTATGGTTTGAACCGAGGGGTGCCTTGTCCCAAAGGTCTTGCTCTTTCCCACTCCCCCACACTGGGCGTGACAAATTGGCAGGCATGATGCTACGAAAATCAGCACAGGGGAGTCTTCAGGGAGGTGGCTATTCCAGTGTCTTGTATGGGTACGAGACCGTAACCACCCCAACCGTTCACTGACTCCAGACATGCGGGACATATTCAGGAATAGGCATGATCCAGGGGAAAACAAGTGAAAAGAGGAACCTGCACTGGGGCCTGTGAGCAGACGGGAAGTATTGTTAATCACAGGAGGCCCTCACTTTCCTTTGACTAACCATGGAGGAGGGAGGAGGCCAGAAACCAGGAAAGAGTCAAATAGTCATTATTCAGAAATGAAATGAGAGATAAATGGAGGAGGGGCAACAAGCAAGGAAGTCTGAATCATTTTCAAGAATGCCTTCAAATCTGAGTTGCTGGTGTGGAGGAAGGAGCGCGGACTTATTTTGGGCAAGTCCCTGAGCACCAGTCTCCTTATTTCTGAAATGGGGCCATACCATTTAATCTGTTGTGAGGAGTAGGGATAATGAACTTAGAATAGCCCCCAGGGGGGACACCATGAATTGTGTGTCTTATCATTAATTTCCCCTGCAGTGCTCTAGTTCTTGCCAGCTGGGCCCTAAGGATGGAAAAGGATCCTCTGCGGTGAGTGGTTATCAACAGGTGGCATCTGGAAAAGTCGAAGAGCCTCGGCACCCCCCATGGCTATGTGTGCCACTGAGTTCACAACCCCCTCTTTTCATAGGCTCTGACTGCTCTGTAGAGGTGGTATGCCTCTTACTTTATCTTTCTAAGAACGTGTGGCTTTTCGGTCCAGTATCTTCGCTTTATTTGTCCTGTAGTGCTTGAATCCTGAAACTGTGGTCTCATGGGGTGCTCCAGAGCAGAGCAGATCCCCTCAGGGGCAGGGAGCAAACCCCGAATCAGAGAGGGGAGGGGTGGAGGACAGATTTCGGCCTCACTGGGCTGACAAAATCCTAAGGAAACAACTCAAACAGCCGGTCAAGGATCAAACCCCAGGCTCTGCGTGTGAGGGTGCCGATCTGAAATGTGCCATGAAGTAGACCGCTTTCCTTCAATGACAGGGGATTAACTATTGAGTGCACCTGTGCATATTTAATGTTCTGGAAAGCCATTCTTGCCTTGCCTTGTCTGTGCACTTCTCCCACCTTCCCTCTCCGACCCTGTCTCCAAGTGGAGCATCCTAAACCATGCTCCTGCCCAGATCATGCTCCTTCAGTGGCTCCCTGTTGCCGACAGGAGGAAGCATGTCAACACCTGAACATAGTTTACAGGGCCCCATGACGCAGCCTGTGCTTAGCTCTCTGACCACACTTTCTGCCTTTCCTCCTGCAATTTGGGCACTGTAACATCGGCCTTCTTGGAGTTCCAGTGCACATGGCGGGCTCCCCAGGCCTCTGCTATCACTCATGCTCTCAGATCTGCCTAGAGTGACTACCCAGCTCCCCTCCCCTGCCTTCCTCCTGGTTGATTCTTCCCCATCCTGAAACATTCTGCCCAGACCTCACCTCCTCCAAGAAGCCTTCCTTCACTGCTGCTCCTCAGGTCCTGGAGCTCTGGAGCAGGACCACCTGGGGTTCAAATTCTGGCTCCGCTCATTACCAATTCTGGGATCTTAGACAAGTTTCCTTTCTCTTAAAGTCCTCAATTCTTCACGTGTAAAATAGGAATATTCGTGGTAACTTTGTCAGAGGGTTGTTCTGGGCTTGAATGAGTTAACACCCACAAAGCCTTGAGAGCCCCGTCCGGCACTTGGGAGAGGTGCTCATCCTCATTGCTGCTTACCACACGGGATTACAAGGGTCAGCGTGGGCCACTGACTTCCCTGAAGATAAGAGGCTGGGGACGTTCAGCTTTGTGTCCCCCCAACCCAGCCCAGAACCAGTACGTGGATGTCCATGGCATGTCTGAAGTGACCGCAGCTTAAAGAAAAGCATGACGTGCTCAGGTCACCAGCCCCTCCATGGCTCCCCATGTCAGAGCCTCACCAGCCCCACTGGCATTGAAAATAAAGGTGCTGTCTGTGGGACGGGGGACTCCCTGTCCAGGAGAGGTGGGCAGGCCCAGGGTAGGAGGCCGGTAGAAGACAGGGGGGTAGAGGCAACCTCTGCTCTGGTCACACCATCCTTGGGAAATGGCCCATAAAGGAAACCCCCACAGCTGGGGGGAGGGGGTTGGCTCGTGGGGCTGTCTGTCCTGTGCTTCAGGAGGCAGAGGGTGACCTGCCTGCTCTCACTGGGGTCCGTTGGGATTGAGCAGGGGCTACAACGATGTTTACCCAGCTCTTTGCTCGGGTTCCCAGAGGTTGCCTGCTGGCAGGAGCTCCTAAGGTCCAGGTGAGGCCAGAACTATCCCTGCCATGGGGTGGGGGAGGTGGGCAGGACGCTCACAGTGGACATTAGCTATGCGAGTCCTGCCCCTCAAGAGGTGCTTTTCTCAGAACGCAGCTTTGGTTCTTTTGGATCCCGTGAATGTTTTTATTTTGCATGAATCTGCTCACCTTCCCTTTGCCAGAGATTGCTCGAAGCCCAATCTGTGCTTCAGCTTCACAGCCTGAGACCCAGCGACCTCCGTATCTGCTTTCTAATTCCAGCCCACCTGGGCTGACCTTCCTTCCTAATTTATATTTAACATGGCCAACCTTTTCATTCTACTTTCAAATATTTTTGAAATATATTATTGCATGCAAATAGACAACAAAGCAACCAACCAATCCAGGAACTGCTGAAATAGAACCATTCCCTTCTGGTAGATATTGAACCCGTGCCTGCTCTTGGGTAGTGAACCGATGATACACAGGGGCTCCATCTAGGAATTTCAGGACACAGCGGAAGTCCCCCAGGGAAGTCACGGTCACGAACCTCCCCACCTTTGCCGCCACACCATCTCTGGGCAACTCGGCAGGGGAGGATTCCATTTCCCCAGTGCGCAGGCGCTGGGTAGCCTCTGCCCCCTGAGTCCATGTCTTGTTGGCGGCGAGGCTAGCTCCGTCCTTACCTTTATTCCTTGGCCGAGGCTTTCCAGGGAATTAATATCCAGTCCTTCCTTGCAGGCCTGCAGGCAGGAGATCACCTTCTGACTCTCCATTTTGCCAGGACGGATAGTGAGACTGGCCAGGCTGCCGTGGAAGAATTGAGCAAAGCGTGGTTTGGTGACTTCTCCTCCTGAAAGTGAAAGCAGCACGGTCATTTACCCTGTGGAGACTGGGTCCGAAACACCACTTCATGGCACGATCTGGCCGGGGGACCAAGGACACAGTGACTGTATCCCCTCAACCTGAGCTTTTCCTGCAGAGCGGTAAGCTCAGCGGCCAGCCTCGCAACACGAGGATATTACCTGCCGCCAAGACCTTGGCGCTCCCCAGCGGCACCTGATTTAGAAATCCGGGATTGGAAACAGCTGCCTTCAGAGGCGTGCACTGCGTTAGAAGACAGAAAGGACCCCCCCCAAAGAGTAAAACTGGGCGGGAGAAGGAAGCTGCCACCGACAGGAGGCCTGCTGTATGGCCGGCTGTCTGCTGGGGACTTCATCTGAGCAAGCCTGCAAAGAAGGGACCCTTGTTTCCCACTCATACGCGAAGAACCCGGAGGCTCAGACAGGTTGAGGGACTTGCCCCAGGACACACAGCTGAACGCTGGAGCTGGCCCTCTACTCCTGGTCTGTCTGACCCCAAAGCTGGCGTTTGCTGCCCTATATTCCACAGAGAGTTTGGCCGGCAGTCGAGGAATCCTGGAGCCCTACATCCTCGGGCTCTGGCTCTCTTGCAATGAGCTGATCTCGTACCCGCTTAAACTCAAGTTCTTTGGCAGATGAGGACTTCTTTGATTCTGTTCTACCTCTTTGTTTTCATTGCCTACTTCTTGTTTTCCACTGTTCTCTCTATGGGCTGAGCCAAGTCCTGTCTGAGCTCAGGTCTGCTCTGCGGCACAGGAAACCGTTCAACGCTGCTCATGTCAAGGTCCCTCCTTCCACTTTCTCCCTGCTTTTCTCAAGGTCTCTAAAGTAAAAGCGCCCCTTAGGTTCATTTGAGTCCTCACCTCTTCCAGGAGGCCTTCCCCACAGCCTTCACTGAGCACAGGCCCCTTCTGTCTCTGGGCAGCCTACACCGACAGACTAGCCTTGATCTTGCACTTCTGTCTCTTCAGAGAGGTAGCGGGACATATGAGAAAGGTAACTGTGGGTCGAACTCCAGCTTCGCTAATTCCCTGGGAAGGTTTTGTAAACCCTGAGCCTCTGCTTGCTTGTGGGGGGACAGTCCCGGGTTTTGGCTCCTGGTTCCCCTGTCCTCTCTCCAAGGGCCCCTGCGGCCTCCCCCAGACCTAGATCCTGCAATGCATCCCTAGCGAAGCACGTTCCAGTGAGACACCACCCCAGAGGGCACATTTCTGACTATTTCTACTAGAGTGACACCGCAGTGACTTCTCTCTTCCTTCCTTCCTTCCACAAGACACTCTGTGCCAGCAGAGCCTGGACCTCAGCTGGAGGGGGTGGAGGGCTCTCCCCAGGTCACTCTACCTCAGCCCGGGGGTAGTAGATGCTCCTAACACCCGCATTCCTATATTCTTGAGAGTTCTCTCTACTTCTCAGTAGCTAATTCTTTGTTGTTCCAGTTCGCTATTGTAGTTAATTCTCTACATTGATCTGTTGAAATCACAGTGTGGTTTTTCTCCTGTGATTGAGTCCACACCGATACACCCTCTATGTTACCATGCATGCCTTTGCTCACAACTGTTCCTCTTCACACTAAGATACCACCTCCAAACTGCTTAGATTAGGCAAATCCCATGGTCCTTCAAGGCCCCTTCAGCCCTCTGTCCCCTGCTTGCACACAGAAACCTTTCAGGAGCCCTCTGCCCACCCTGTCCTCTCCTTGCCCTGAGCCCTGGAGTACTGACTTCATTTGAACATACCCTCAGAACCCAGCGTTGCTAACGGTTTACATGTGTGGCTTATATGTCCTCAACAGCCTATTACTGTGGTTCTCAATCTTGGCTGCACATTTTAATCACCTGGGGAATCTTTAAAAAGTCAAGCTGATTCTGGTGCTGGGTCCCACCCCGAGAGATTGTGACTTAATTGGTGTGGGGAGTTTCAGAAGCTCCTCAGGTGCGTTAAATGTGAAGTCAAGGTTAGGAATCACTGGCTATAAGCTTCTTAGGTTGGGTCTTCTGCACACTCCTGTGTGATCTCTCTCCTTAATGCCACCCGCAGGCTTACTCTGGCTACCCTTCCCACACTGCTAGGATATATTTGTTTAAGTCTCTCCTGGGTAGCAGGGAGCACTCATGCATTTTTCATTCTAATGAAGATGATACGGAGCAGGTACTAAGGGCAGAGGGCTGCACAGGGCACTTTGCATAAGTTGGCTCATTTATTCCCTTCAATAGCACAGGGCCCCCGTGTGGTCCCAGCATGCTGCACCCTGCCTGGCACACAGCAGACCTTTCATAACTGTTTCCTGAACTGAAAGAGATGTTGAATCAATGCCAGCAGAGTAGTGGACATTGTGGAGTCTCTCCAACACCCATCTCACCTCTGCCCTCCTGCAGTGGCAGCCCAGAGGTTGGGGGGAGTTGACTTGAATTCCAGGGATGGATTCTATTTAGTCACAGCTAATCAGGTTTTCCTGTTCCCCTCGCTCCAGTGACTGAGTCAGGTGTCGACTTCAGATGATGCCGATCAGTACCTGCATCCACTAAGCCACAGAGCTTGGCCCAGCAGTGATCATGAGACCAAATTTAGGCCAATGAGATGAGAGGAGAAATTAACCAGCAGCCTTTGGGAAAAGGGCCTCCATTTTCTCTCCAGAAAGTTTCTGGAATCTCCTCTTGTTCTCTTCCCTGGAGATGATGATGTGAAGGAGGAAGGCTTAGAGCGGCTGCAGCCATCTTGTAGGCAGACCAGGGCTGACCAAGGTGATGCATGAAGGAAGGCAGAGCCGGGAGAGTAATAGCAGAGGCCCGAGTGGATTTCCCTCCTCATGCTCTACCACAGCACATCCTCAACCATGGGAGCCAATCATCCACCTTTATGGTGTAAGCCATTTTGACTCACACCGTTGTTCCCTGCCACCAAAAACATCTTCACTTTGGAAATGAAAGGAGAAGGTTCTACTGAAGTCCTCAGTCCACAGGGAACTCCAAACAGATCTGCCTTTGAGGAATGCCCTGACATGGCAATGACTTGAGAGTGAGGGGGGAACCCATCTCGGGCCTTCTATTCTGGGTCCTCAAAGCCCCCATAGGTAAAGTACCCCTCAGTGCCATTAGCATGTTCCTGCCCTAGCAAAGGGGCACTTCTGTTGCCCTGCAGAAAGAAGGGTGTGAACGTGAGTACGCATGGCGGAGCTGCCACTCTCCAGGGCATCCGGATGGCCACCTTCCCTGCCTTGTCCACCCTGTGTCCCCTCAGAGCAGCAGACGCAGCAACTATCATATACTGGGTATGCACTACGTCTCCCACATGGTGCAAGTCCTCCACATACATCATCTTACTGAGCCTTCACCAAACTCTTGGGAGGGAGGTACTTATTCTGTAGTTAGAGTTGAGCAAACCCAGACTGAGCAAGAAGTAAGCGGCCCAAGGTCACGCAAGTAGGAAGTGGTGAAGTGTGGGCCCCTCGCAGCCATGCACGGGGCCAGCTGGGGCATTCTGGAGTACTGGCCGGCCCCAGCCAGGGTGAGGCTGACAGAGAGCCCCCTCAAGGGCTCACTCTGCAGCACCATGTTTAAAGGCCAAACTTGGTGACTCTCTTGGATGCTAAGACAATTCCCTACACACCATTTTCTCTCAGCAAAGCATTCGTGTTCTGTATTTTTGATTCAAGAAACCCAGATCTGTGATGTACTCTATTTATTAGTGATGCAGCTCCGGGAAATTGATTCAATTAGCACTTTGCAATAGGAGGCCAGCATAGAATGTGAAATATATTTGCACTCAGGGGTGGCTGTGATGCAGGATTTAAAAAATAATAGATACGTTGAAAATCTCTTTCTTTTTAATATCCGGGGTGTCTTCATAACCCACATGGCTCCTCTGTTAACATTTAGACATAAACATGCTCATGAATTATTTTAAGAAAAAAACATAATCTGATTTCCTACACAAAGAACTTTCTCTACATGTTAGCGAATGTGATTTTGGGTTCCTGAGGCTAGATCTGCACACATTTTTAAAGTGTTTGCTGAAAGCCTAGCCTTCTGTTAGATTCAGCTAATTATAAGATGTAGACCATGCTCTCTAGGAACTTATATTTAGTTGGGAGAATAAAGTATAGACCCTGGGAAAATAAAAATATAAAAGTAAATTGCCAGTGCAATATATGATCTAAGGCAGGGCATGATTGATTTCCAAACAAATGCTACAGATGAGGTGTCCAACAGATCGGAGGGGAAAAAATAATAGCCATTATCTAGGAGGCCCTTAAAACATGGCAAGTTCTTTCATGTGCTATTTTATTTAATACTTAAGTGGCAGGATAGTATGTTTGAGACCTTAGCCTCTATTCTTTTGATTTTACCCTCTCTGTAGACACATATCTGGCTTGTGCTCATTGCCACAGGGAGGCTTGTGACAAGGAGAAGAGCAGATGGGGCTTAAAGCTGAGTTTCTTCCCCAGTTTTGTTTCCAGAAGTCTAAACCCTAGGAGGGTGGGACGATCTGGGTACGGATCCACATTTGGGGAAAAGTAGAAGAAAATCTGGCTTCCCGCAGACGAGAAAATGTCACCCTTGACTAGGAAGGGGCCTGGCAGGGAGGTATTGGAGGGGGTAAGGCACAGGGGTGTACAGCAAGGCACCTGGAGCCGGCCACCTGGGCTGAGCCTTGGCTGGGGAGCACGATGCTGGAGGGGATGTTGGCCTGTCACATCTGGACAGATAGGCAGATGGACTGCAGATGGTCTTACACGGAGAGCATGACAAGCACGGGAGATATTTTTGTGCCCCTAAGTAAGACAAGGAAATACTGAGAGAGCTGCCAGCCCTGAAAGACCATTAGTGACAGGACCGAAGAGGTGAGCACCATTTCCGTGGACACCTGCACGGGATGATGCCTGGAGGCCCCCCGGCACCCTAGCCCCACATAAACACTCCTGAAATCAGCTGGCACCAAGGAAATGGAACAATTTCCAATTTGCCAAGGTTAACTCTCCCCCGCTCAGATG